CCCACGCACACACAGACACACACACGCACACACACACACAGACACAGACATATATATATATATATATATACATACATACATAAATACATACTTACATACACACACACACACACACACACACATATATATATATATATATATATATCGAATCAGTGAGAATAAGAATTGTTGCTTGGATAGCTTCGATCGTACAACACGAGATCATTGTGCGGAACTGCATACAATACCAATACTCACTTAATGGGCGTGTTTGCATCGCCTCCCGAATCTCCTGCGACGGCTGTAAAACAGAGGACTGTCCAAAGAGAAAGCCTTATTGTGCATATTCTGATCGTTGGATACATGTTCCTTTTTTGTTGCTGGTTGGCTTTAATTTTTGTAGAGTGTGTAAATATCAATGAAAACAATATCTTATCTACGAAATATGTTGAATGTAGCCTTGATAATGTCTTAATACAGTAGTTGCGACCTACGTCCGCATAGTGGGGTCATTGATATTCTCACTTGTTTTCACCGAACACGTTAGAATACACTCAATTTCGAATGTAGTGGCGTAAACTGCATTATAATACATAAGTAAATAATTATTATAACAGGTTTTACTACTGTGACTTCGATAAAGATAGGGACATTATGGAGACGGCGAGACAACAAAAGTTCACAGTAAAAAGTAAATAACTAATACTCACGATCCCCGCCAAAATATTAAGAAGATTGGATTGGGCGATCAATATCAGTTGGCTTATGCACGTGCGCGTGTGCGCTGGGGGTTGTTTCAAAGTTTAGTGATCCACTGAGCTACGTAATTATCGACACGTTCACAGCGTAGGATATCGGAAGTTGGACTACAAGCACAACCAATCCAGATATTTATTATTATAAAAAATATATCCCTGTTAGACAGGCTACACAATATATCCATATATCCATCCTAAGGTTAGCTACTAGATATACGCAAACACATAATCAACCATCATGGGAAAGGCCAAAAACAACAAGAAGAAACCTCAGCGTAAATCGCCGTTGCCTATGCCCACAGCTGATGAAGTTATGCAAGACGCTGAGCAAACCGCAAGTCACGATGATAATGGTAACCTAGAGGGCGAATTATTGGACTTAACTATTAAGCTTAAACAGACCGAGAATATCGAGGCTCGTGTGTATGCATGTGGATCTATTGCGTACATGCTATCGCAAGCCAGCTCTGATAATAAGATATATTCCGCACTGGTGCAGAGTGGAAGTCTATTGACGCTCGTCGAATTGCTAGATTCGGACGACCACGACTTAAGGTATGTTTCTCAAAAACAAAAAGTATTAGATGTGGAATTAAAATTAAGTGTTGATTTGTATGTCCTATGTTTCCAAGTCTCAGGCTAGTTGTAGAGACAGAGTAGATAGATCACTGACAACAGATATACATGCGTATATCCATGTTCGCTCGTATAGTGTCATATGTATACTGTGCAATCCATAACAAATCTAGAAACATTATATTCATGTCTGCATACACTGAAGAGATACATACGATGGATCAGGAACACCTCGTGTATGTATGCATGAGTTTCAATTTTCCAATTTTACATTTATCACAAATAAAGTGTATCAATCCGTTTAAAAATTATGTATACAGATAATTCAGCTGCAAAATGTGTTGATATGCACACTCAAAACACACACACCTACAACACCGCCCACACACACACCTACAACACCGCCCACACACACACAAACACACACACAAACACACACACACAACACATACACACACACACACACACACACACACA